GCTTTCTTATTTTTTTAGATTCTGTACTGCTTTAGTGTGTAACACTGTACTTCATATAAAGTGTTATTCAGTTCTCTTCACAGGGTAGTTAGACAACACGATCCTTTTCCACTTGAGATCCAAGGACACCATTGCATCTTTAGGCTCAAGAAGTATAAACAACAGTGAATTGAGGAAAGAAAATCTGGGATGATGTGACTTCATAACCTGAAGCTGTGATTGGACAATTAACCCCAGTATGTAAATGGACCAAAGCTTATAAAACTGTGAAGACTCATGACCCGTTGTCCATCTTGCGTCCATCTGGGGTCCATCTTGGGCAGAGCCCTGGCCAGGCTCTTGTTCTGGCAAGGTGTATCCTTGGAAAGGCCTTTTAATGAATACCTAATTTATTCTTCTGACTCTGTCCAGCCTCTGTTCCTGGTCTGATCATCCATCAGAAAGTTATCACCAATGAGTTGATGAGGTGATCATCAATGAAAAGAATTTTCATTTCAGAAAATGATCATCAGTGAATGACATCTGGAATCAATGAATTCCAGAGACTTCACGGCTTGCTTGTGTCCTCTTGGGCCATCTCTCCAGCAGTTTCCAGGGTGGCTGAAGTCCTCCAAGAGCATCAGGAACTGTGAGTGTGAAGCTTCTTGCAGGTGTTTCTGAAGGCCTCCTCTACTTACACTTCCTGATCAGGTGTTCTGCAGCAGACACCCATCACAACATAGCTCAGATGCTGGTGTGCTCACTCACCTTCCATCACAAGCTCTCAACTGGCTCACTGTCCACATGCTGCCCATCTGCCAAGGCAGACCTCCATTTTTCCTGCCACTCTCTCACAGAAGGTGCTCAAACAAACTCCTTATCATCATTCATGGCTTGTCCCTCAAAAACCTGTATTTATCCATGGCAATGGTCTTGTCGTGTGGACTATCCCACCACAGCTCTGTGATCCCTGTAAAACCATAAACCTGCAGAAGCAGATAGACCTCTAATTCCACTGTGTTCCCCAGCCTTTGGAGGGACAGACACTCCTGACAAGCAGTCTGTCAGCCTGTAAAGGATGTGGTAGGTTAGCCTTACCATGGTGTTTAGTCTGAATATGGTGCTATGCTGTTCAGACTGAAAGCCCTAACATGCAAAAGCCTTGCTGATACAACACAGGCTGTAAAGAGTCATTCAAATCAGATTATTCACATTTTCCATTTCATTAATGGAATATTACCATGGACCTCTCTAGCAAACAGAAGTATATATGCACACACCTATAAAAACAACACAAAAAAATTCACATACTAGCAAGAAATGCCAATTCATAATAATGACAGGCAGCGCACTAACAAAGAGCTAAGTTAGCTGCCTCTAGTAAGATTCAGTGTGTCTGCCTGAACAATAAATTACTGCTGCTTTAGTGGGTGTTTGTGAGAAATGCAATGCCATTTACTCCCCACATGTAATAATTTTGGGTATTTGTTATGGTTTCATGTTATGAGAATGGCTGCTCTGAAATAACCAGCTGATGTATTTTACAAATCCCCAGTGAAACTAATGGTGCACACAAGAAATAAATCTCCTTTTGTATTTGGATGGGGAATAATTTAATTTGGTTTGTTCTTTTGCTTTCTTCAGGATGGCTGAACACCTGCATACCTACAGGAACTAGTGAAAGAATTCCCTATTTTGCGTTGCTTATACATGCAGCTTTTGCTTTATCTGTTAGACTTCCTTTTTTCTCAATCCATTAGATTAGCTCCATAGAGCTTTCCTACTACCTTTCCAATGCTCTTCCCTGATAGATGTCAGAGGAGGGAGCAGATTGCTGTATGGGGCTCAGCTCTCTGCTGGAGTTGGCAGAGACAGACATGACAGAATCATTCCCTGGAATGGGTATTCCCCCACCTGATCCAGCCAGGTCTGATACATCTGAACACAGTTAAGGTAATATGGTCATTAAATTGCCTGAGTCCACCTTCAGTTCAGGTACACTGATGTCTGGTGATGCTATTGCTTTGTACCTGCACCTATTTCCTTTGGCAGCTTGCCAGCACACACTAGAAAAGATAACAATTCAGCTACTAAATTATGTCTCTAAAAGAAACACAAAAAAATTAGAGAAGTGTCACAAAAGACAGAGTGATAATACAGAAATGGGGTGACATCAGGCTGGTGTTCAGTCACCAGTGGGATTCCACAGGGCTCCATCCTTGGCCCAGTTCTCTTCAACATCTTAATAAATGACTTGGATACAGGACTCGAAGGAATACTAAGTTTGCTGGCAACACTAAATTGGGAGGAGCTGTTGACTCCCTTGAGGGTGGGGAGGCGCTTAAAAGAGACCTCAACAAAGTAGAGAAAGGGCAAAGAGTATTTATTACAGGAAATAGAACTCAGGAGGTTTAAATATTCATGGATTGAAACAACAACATCTGCTGCTGTTCTATCTAGCCTAACGCATCTTATTAATATAACCCATCCCTTTCAAAGACTATGTAAGTCTTAGAAACTGCAAAAAATCTAACTGCCTATCAAATATGACAAATAAAAAATCAGGAGTTGCCATGTTGCAATCCAAACATGGCTGCCCATTTCAGGAAACACTTCAATAACATATTTGTTGGTATAGCCAGTAAATAGCTTGATGAAACCACTACAAAGCTGATATAAGGAAAGGAGAAATATAAAAAGACTGAATAGTTTGCACAAAAACGAAACCTTCTTAATCTCTGCTTCTAGTTGAGTACAAATGGGCATGTTAAAAGTGGGTACATTGGTTGTATTGTAACACCTTCTGACAATTTATGACGAGAAAAAAAAAAAGATACTCTGATTGCTGTGGCTGTCAAAAAAAGTAAGAAGAGAAACACAAAATATGCTATTATATTAATTCATTATTAGTCTCATTATCTGAATGTTCTCCTACATATCTTTGGTTTTCCAGGACCATCACCAAATGAGACTAGCTACACTTAGCTAATGCAAGGACTATTTGGCTCTGAAATAACACAGTAGGAAAGACGTAGACAGAAAAAGCTGTACTTGCAAGAGCAAATATATAAGAATTATGGAAAATCAGAGATCATTAGTATAACATTACTAAGCTGAAGGACTCTGTCCCCAAAACTGCTGACACCAGCTATAATGCAACACCAGTCTGCAAGACAGTAAAGACAGCAAAAGGCACAGTTCAAACTGTAATATGTCTAGTTATTCAGAGTCCCTATAGATGGCATATTAAAATTATTGTGTTACTACTTTCTAGAAAATTTGAGGTTATTAAGTTCTTAGTGTTTTTTATCTCATACAAGAGTATTTGGTTCTCATGGGTATACAAAAGAAGGGAAAGACAAATTATTCAATCAAAAGCATGGAGCAAAGGATTAAGATTCCCTAAATCCTATATTCTCTGAATCAGCCTCATTCCTTTTCATGGTAAATTAACAAAGGTTTCTCCATCATCCTTTCATTGCCTTTACCTCCTTGTCTACTAATCCAATTCTCCATTTATGGCAGTGGAAATCTTTAAGGATACTTTGTGTGAATTGGTCTTACTGCCTCAAAAGTCTTACAGAAGTCCCAGCATAGACATCTAAAAAGCATCCTGTCTAGAAGACACTAACTATTCTTTGGAAAATTCAATTATTCCATTTTTTCAGAATAGGAATTGGAAGAAAAACAACAAATAAGCATTATTGGCGATGCTTGATATACCTCACTATATAATCAACATAATTGTATATACATGTAAACATGTAAAGATAAAGAGGTTGGAGAATTGAAAATTGCCTTCTGAAAACATGTTCTGGAACAACTCAAAGCAACCTCCAGAAAATTTATTTTAATAAATAATTGGTCACTGGGTTCCTGACCAGTGACCAATGGCATGTTAACTTCTCACATCCTCACAAATATATCTCCAAGGCATGCTCCCTTCTAGATTTACATGTGGTAGACCCTGTGAGCTGGCACTATTTTCTTTACAGGAAGTCCATTCACAGAATAAAATTGATATAGCTGGCAACATGGAAATCTTTGTCTCTTTAGAATATTCTATCTCATGGAAAGGCAAGAAGGTTTTTTCTTGATTATTTTTGACAGAGGGAAGAATTCTACTGCCTTTATCTCCAGCATGATATCTGGAATAGGACTACAGCATAAATCTTCAGGGTAGTGTTGCAAAAAACATAGTCGTCTCAGTTCATTTTCAGTATTTTCCATAAAAGTAACTAATTCTTTTCAGCCCCTATCATCACCAGGTGTTTTCACAAACTGGGCTTCTGTATACTTCTCTGATCTTTTAATTGTTTCCTATAGTCCCTAGTACCAAAACCCTTTCTGTTTTTGTGTCTAGTCTTTCCAGTGAATCTGTAGACTTATGACTATTATTGTCAGAAAGGCATGATAATGCCTTTCTCCTCTTTTGCCCACTCTCTGAATATTTCCTTTGTACTCAAGAACAGTCAGAACTTTTTCTATCCAGATGAAATTTCCACTTCACTGAAACCTTGAAAATATGTGAAATACTTTTAAGAAATGAATGTACGTGTCTGTATTATTGAGAAAACATTTTCTTATCGTAAATACACAGACAAAATTTCAGCACATTATTGATGCTATTTTGGTAACCAGTCAACACAGAATGCGATGAACACAGTCAGATATGAACAATATTTATTGTGTATAAACTTCTCTGTTAAGCCTAGGCAATTATGGTTTGTACAACATAAATTCTCTTTCCCCAGTTTTCCATTATTTGGGATACAATGATTTAGAGAACCTGGACAAGGCTTCACCCTACTTTCAATGTGATTACCTAGGTGATTGGGAGAGATTGCAGTTTAACCTCATTCTCCTTCCAGTGAGCTTATCACAAGGCTCCCAGCATCACTTGAGGCTGTTTGACTCCCAGCTGGAAAGATTTTAAAGAGACAAACAATCACAAGTTATAACCTGCTTGCAACTTTCTCATATATAGTTGCACAAATTTGATAGCACAGGCTTACCTATGTGGTTTATCCTGGCAGAATAGTCTTTCTGAGGGGTAGTTAAACAGCTCACGTCTCTCTATAGCCCTATGCCAATGTCCTGGAGGCTCATGGCATTGAAGGAAGACCTCTCATTACTAGAAGAGAAATAAACCTTCTATTTTTCTGTACATAAAAATTAGTTCATTTGTTAAGTGGTACTGGAAAATAAAATCAGGTAATGTTTCAAGAACAGACAAATGTCCAGATTCATGCCACTCCAAATAACTGTGCTTACCATGCCAGGGAAACTGTTTTTCTCTTTGGGAAATTGTATGACAAACCTGTCACTGAGTCTGGATTTAATCCTTCAGTCTGGACTATGGCAATAAGAAACAATAGCTTCTTACCAGCAGATGTCTGAATTTTGGCACCATTTACAGTGAACAACACTGTGGAAATAATCCTCTCTACTTCAGTAAATATGCTGCTATCTTCAAACCTGCTTCAGAGACCATGAACACTTGGATTAGGACTGTTTTGTCCTAATGCTTATTTTAACAGAAAAAATGACCACAAATTGCTACCTGTTCAAATGCATCCAGCTACTCATTGATAACCTAGATAACAATCAAAAAAAGATATCAGACTCTAATGATCATTTGATCTGCTCGCAAAGGAAAACAAGGAGCTTTCCTTGGTGATAACGGCAATATACCTGTGCTAACACACATCAGAGATCTAGTCAGAGCAGAGATGTCTTATTGCATGCAAGCTGTTCATCACATGGGGGCTCGGCACACTGACACTTGGCACTGCAGATTTCATACTCCCTTACATATTTTACTCTTTCTACCTGCATATTGCAGACTATGAACCAAGGCTTTGAGTTCAAAGAAAAACTTCTACTCCACAGAGAAGCAAAAAATCTCAGAGATCTATTATTTCTTTAATAAGAGCAAGTAGAGATGTTTGCTTACACATTTTTAAGACAAAATGTAGAGCCATCACCTGAATCTGCAGAACATACATTCAGTTTTGAGCAGCCTATCATGGAGGTGATACTGTGATTCATATGGATTTGCTGGACAAAAATTCAGAAGCAAAACAATTAAAAATAAGTAAAATTCTTTTCAGTCACATTTTTCAAGTTCTCAATAATTCCACTGTTTGGGTACTTTTAGAAGACAAGCTGGCATATTAGGCTAATCTTTTTGCCTTTATCTGAAATTTATGGTCCTTAGTTACCTAAATAAATGAGAAAGAGGACTCAGACAGAGTAGAAAAGAAAATGTATGGGTTTCAAAAATTATGCCTATTGATAAATCTTCAAAGACTCACAAATACTTGAGATATGATGAAAGAGGAAAATCTGAATATTTTATCCTTCAAGTTCTTAAACCAGAAGATTTTTTAATGCATAGCTCAATTATTCTAAACTTTAAGGTTAGTTCTTTTTAAAATGGCATTGTTATTTGGGACTTGGTTATCCTTTTCAACATAATCTTTGTAGTCTCAGACTCTGTTTATTCTGTGAAGGCCAAAACTTCCATACCAACAATGAAGATGTCATCTATTGTAATGAAGTAAATGAGCACTTTTAGGCTTCTGAATCTTGGCAACAAGGCTAATCAGTCATAGCAATCCAAGGGAAAATAATCCAAGGGCAAAAATGTTGGAAAAAAATAGCACTTTCAATGAAAAAAAAATATAAAAATAGAAAAGTCAGTGCCCTCCCATGAGAATTTCAGAACTTTTCAGTAGTGTTGTTTTATAGGGAAGTCTTAAAAAGCGATGTTAGATCTATCTCTACCATGAAATTAATTTGACATTATGAATCTTATAGATTGTTTGACCTATCCATTTTGAAAAATCTCATCAAAAGAAAAGCTTTTAAAAGCTTTACATTTACCATAAATGGTACTTCCTTTGGATAGCTAACAATGAGCTTGATCAGAATGGTAGAGTTTGAATACTAGATATTCTCCTTTGCATCTAAAGCTAAACCCTCTTTTATCTTTCCAAGTAAAGCTGCTACACAATTCAGCTTTTCATGCAAGTGACGTACTCTTAAAAATTCCTCTTCATTTTTCAATGCAAGTGCCCATACTCAGTTTACCCCTAAATTTGTGCCCCAAGAGAAACTGATTGACCAAGAAAAGAAGAAAGTCTCAGCTGTCAAATACTAACGTCCTACTCAGTGGAGTCTCTGTGGGTCTAGAGAGGGTTAAAGTCAGAAGAGCAATGGTTTAGAATTAGTGATGGTTGCAAAAGGACAACTGTGAAACCCTTTGGGGAGAATTACAGCTTAATCATAGCCCCTGCTGTGCAGCAGTGATACGGGTGAGTTCATTTCACAGCCACACAACTTCCTGTGAGATATGACGTTCCACAGCTGCACTACCACACAGTATATCCAGCACGAGACCTCATGTAGGGAATGAAATTAATTTATGCGTCTGTCACTAATCAGAACTGTATGCACATCATCTCACACCGCTTCAATTCCAATTTTCAAGTGTGATTCTTTACTTAAAGGCAATCAGGATCATACCTCACCTTTCTCCAAATCAGTTTCACCCACATGTAGTAATATCATCAGAGGAATGAGTACCTCTCTAACGAGGAGAGACTTGGGATTGTGCAGCTTGGAATAGAGAAGTCTTTGGGTGACTTTATTGCAGCCTTTCAGTACCTAAAGAGAACCTAAAAGAAAGATGGAGAGAGGCTATTTACAAAAGCATGTAGTGGCTTCAGACTGAAAGAGGATAAGTTTAGATTACATATTAGGAAGAAATTCATGACTGTGAGGGTGGTGAGACACTGGGACAGGTTTCTCAGAGAAGTTGCCTATGGCACAGGGTTTGGAACAAGATCATCTTTAAGTTCCCTTCCAACTCAAGCCACTCTTTGATTCTATGATAACACACTGGAGAAGAAAGACAAGGAGGAACTTCTGTAGCCACCTCTCTTGAATCAGAGTGGTGGCCACAGTGCAGGACAGCAGGCATTTGGTTCAGAAAAACCTACGGAAAATCCAGTCCTTTCACTTTTGGTACATGGTATTGATCAAAACCTTTCATCAGCCTGGTGATACCATTCAGAGATCACACATGGAGGACTACCACATTTTTCTCATAAATAGTTTCCCTCACCCTTGCTTTCTGAACTTGTGTGTTTTATAAGGTCAACAGCTGTTGTAACAAGGTCATACAGCCAGAGGGAGAGAAGGGCTGGAATACAGTTTTGCTGCTCTAGAAGAATCATCATACAACCAATCTCCCAGCAGTGTGTATACTTGACAATGCTGGTGCAGAGAGGTGTAGAATGCAGTGTCCAAACACAGTGGGCTACCATCCTCTGTCCTCTCCCAAGCCTGCTGTGCATCTCTGTTGAAGGAAGAAATACTGGTTTCACAGAAAAAACAAAAAAATCTTGCAGAAGGATGAAGAAAACTTGTACTGGTGTTTCCTGATAAACAGAAGAATAATTTTTTATAAACCCCTAAGAAACATGGCAGTGAATAATAGCCAGATAGGAGCTCAAAGATATTTTCAGAAATAAAATGTTATTTGTTACCTTGTGATTTAGGGCTTTTGTGTAAGAATCCACTCCATTACATTGTCTGCTAGGCTCTGTTTTGCTGTGAAAAAAGAATATGCTTTAATGAAGACTACAGCACAATCTAGTGCACAAGTCAGCCTAAAATTGTGGGCTTGGCTCACAAATTCACGTGAGAGAAATTAATATTTTTATAAAGTTTTGTTTCAAGATATTTTCCATACCAAGACATCATCATACACCTTGAGGAAAGCATAGTACTTCAAGCTTTTGAGCAAATAAGAATAATTTTCACATGCTTTTCTAAAGCATTCTTGAAATTCAAAAGCCCAGTTCTCAAGATAGACCATATTATATATACACTTATTTAGCCTCTCTTTGCAGGTCTTTCTTCTTGGCAGGGTTGGCATTGTGACCATGTATTTCCCATATAGTTGATTAACACTGTATTTTTTCTATTAGGTTGGTATATATAACATATAGCAAATTTCTGAGAAAGCCCAGTAAAAATTTTGCTGAGGAAGTAACACTGAGGTTCGCATCTGAACTTTCTATTCAGTTTTAGAAAAAAAAATTAAATCTACATTCTTCTCCATCTAAGAAAAAAACCCCATCACCTGGGTTTCTCACTTCCACTCTCACCTCAGACCACAAACAACTCATTCACAGCTGTCTCAGTTTGTGATGAGGCACGCATCTGCGAGCAGTCTTGGCATCTCATCTGTTCCTCCCAGAAAACATAGCTCCTGTGATACGTGTTTCTCATACTAAACCTAAAATCATAGCTGGAAATCTACAGACACACTAGAAAGCAGCTTCTTTGCAACAGTGCTGTGAGTAAAAAGAGATAGTAGGAACAGAATGAAATTTCCACTGAGGTACTGTGGGAACTGACAATGGTCAAATAAGAGATTTTTAGGCTTTAGACATTAGCTTGAGCCTGTGGGTACAGCAGGTGAGAATGAATATAAGTACAGAAATAATTCCTATCTTTCTTGATAAATGTTAGCATGTCTGACTGATTGCATGGTTTAAACACAGGTCTCTGTTAAGCACACATTTCTAGTAGCAGCTAGACATTTTCACTTAAATAAGATTTAAACTGAGCTCTTGACCCTCTTTCTCTTTGACCAGGCTCTGGCAGTTTTTTGGCAAAGCTGTGAGAGCAAATGGCAAGGGTCAGTAGTCTAAATTTCACAATTACATTGTGCACCTTCCCAAAGTGCACTATATATGTAGCAGTAAAATCATGCTACTTGCATTTATAAATAAGAAACAGATCACACTTACAGATTATTTGTGTTTGTGCAAGAATTTCTGACGCTGAAAAGATACACATGCACCTTAATTAGATGTAGCAACTGTAACCTTACCTTTACTTCTAATATATCTAGAAAATTCCAGAAATCTAAGACAAAGCAGGAAAATTTTCTATGGAAATTACTATTAATTTAAACACTTCCAATGTCAGTTCTGTTCTGCTGAATTCAACTCAAACATTATACCATAGCTATCTCTCCTCTAGACCAACATCTCAAAATTTGATATGTATAATTTTCCAATAGTTGGAAAACAGATAATGATGCTCTTGGCATTGAATTTTTTTATTTTTTTTTTAATGAAGCACCAACTTTTTTTCCTGGTAATTATAATAACTAAAAATGGGTAAGATTAAGATTCATTTATTCCAGACTTAAAATTTTGGCTTTTGGGCCTTCAGCTACATTCATAAATTCCCTTAATTTCCCAGCCTTAATGCCTTGGATCTATGTGGGGAGAGCAATAACTAATTTCTTGGACAACACAAAGCCAGTGAAGTCTGTTGATGTCCAAATTCAGGGCTGTAACCAAAAATGCAGCCCAGAAAGTCCTGTGCTTGCATTTCAGTTTCACTCCTTGTAAGCAGAGATAGCTGTAGAGATCCTGGGTTGAGCCTGTTCTTGTTTCTGCTTATATTATCAAGTGGTGAAACAGAGGGTACATGATATAGGACAAAAGAAGAATATCTTCCATGAGCAAATCTTGATGTGATCGTTTTTCAGTCATTCTTCATCCAGCACTTGAAACAAATTCCATCCTCCCAAATTGAAGGCCCCTTTCTCCACTTAAACTGACAGATTTTGAATATTAAGGAGGCACAAAGTTATCAGGTATTCTGCCTTTACTCTATTGTTAATCTCACTTATGTTTAGTGCTGATTTTTCATTCATCTGAAATGCACAAAAGGCAGATCTTTGAAAAGACAGGAACAGTGAAGTAGGGTGGCATTCATAGCTAAACACACTAAGTAATGTGATAATATTTAAAAGCTCATTTGCAAAGAGACTTCCAAAACTTTAACTTCTCTGGAAGATGGCAGCACACATACCAAAATGCATGGAGAGAAAAAGCCAGTAGTGTTTTTAATTCCTAAGATTTTTCCACAGCTTTGTGTGGCTTTTTATCCACTCCCGTGTTTCCAGAAGTCAGTTTCTACTCCTTCACTTTATAGTATCTGTCTCAGCTGTGAGCTTATCAGCTGCTCCCATAAGGGTGTTTTTACAGAACTGTCTGAATCTCTGCAATTCCTCAAATACTGGCACCAAATCCATTCTCAGATACTATAAAAACTAAACACCTAGCAGGTAGATGTCACAGTGTGCCTTCTAGCTGCATGTTAGCAAGATGCAAAATACAAGCAGCTTTTAAATTTGCCACATGGCTTCTCACTTACCTTTTCTTATTCCTTTTTCTTATCCTGCAGTAAAGTTTGATTCAGCAAAGCACTGAAATTTGCCATTGACTTTACGATGTGGTTGTAATCTTCACCCAGGAAGACTCCTCCCTTCCACGAACACACGTGTGTGTGAGGACAAAGCAAAACACATTTTGCTGAACTGGGACCTTGCATTGTAAGTTTTCTGGGGAGGTACCACTCCTTCCGTGCATTTCCAAAGTAATTGGTACCAAGACTGAAGACTGTATGGACACTTGAAGGTGCTCCTCAGTGAACAACAATCACAGGGATGGCAGCTACCAAACTTCACAGTTTGGCAGACACATAGAACTAAGTGAGAATCCAATGATTCTCAATGCAACAAAGAGATTTTCTGGGAAGCCATAAAGAATAATATGACACATTTAAATATATATTGCTATATGGTAGAGAGAAGGTCTCCTAAAGTCTACCATGTTTCCAGCACCAGAGGTGCTATTGTCCCAGCTGATTGGAAGCATCTAGAAATTCATGTCCAGGGAATTATAGACATTGCAACCTGGAGTACATAGTTGGATTTGAAAATTTGCTCCCAAAGAAAGGCAAGGGTCACATATGCAAGGTCAACCACACCTTGTCAATTTCTTGAAAATACCAAGAGCCCAGAGTCTTCTGTCCAGAGTCTTCTGTACAGAAGGATAGATGAGTCCAGTAGAGATGGTGGTTTTACCTCACTAATTGGCAGACTCCTCATCATTGTGACTGTCTGCAGAGACTATGCAAGCACATAAAAGTGAGATGGCCAGTAAAATTTGCCAAATGAGGCAAGAGTTCCTGTATTATCAGTGTCAGTGTACCCTTCTTAGCTCCCACTAAGCTAGTGGATTTGTATATGTTTGCCACTGTGAGCAAAAGCTGTTTCCTAAGACCATCATTACACGTTTTTGAGGCAGCATGGTCCACATGTTTCCCATCCAAGGTACAAATACATAGATGGTACCAGATGTTGTCCATTGGACAGAAAGAAGATAAGCTCCAAGTTGACAGCTGTAGCTGATGAGGTCATCAATACAGTTTAGAGATGGAAAGAGTTTAGTGGAAAAAAACATGTCACTTTTTCTTTTTCTCTTGTTTGAAGTCACTGAGCTTCAGGGTTCAGGGGAATTGTTGCTTTGACTTTATTCTTCTGTAGACGGGTGGCTGCCTGCCAGTGGCAGCTGCATATGGGATCATTTGCATTGCATGAGGAGTCTCTTGTTTAAAGGGAAGCTCTTCCTTCCCTTAGATCATCTGCTTCTTTAGAGTCAGGGCCACTGTTTCACACAGATTGTATTCTTCCTTTAATCTTTTCTCTCTACTTACTCTGTACTCGTTAACAAGTATCCAAAGCCAGGTTTAGCAGACTCATCTGGGAAAGCTGAAAAAGGCAGTCAGTGGACAAAGAGGGAATTATTTTATATTCCTGTGGTTACATACTTCTATGAGAGGATTTTTGCAGTGGACATATGCTGTCTTACATCATCATGCAACAAGCAGCAGTCTAAAAAACTGTTATTTTTTGCACACAGAATGGATATTTAACCTGTCTTGGGATCAGTGTTCTGTGTTTGCACCTCATGTAGACAGTGGGGTACCCCTCCCGGAGCCCCACATCAAACAACTGAGTGCCTTTCATCTCCAGGAGCAATGCAACTCATTTCTTTTGCACCTGACAAGTCAGGGACAATCAACTATTTTAATGGGTTTTGTGGGGGAAGTAAAGAGTGAGGGATAGAGAGAAAAGTTCCCCTAGAATGATATTATAAAAGCTGTGACTAACATATTAGCAATTTGGCTTCATACCCTGCGCACAGGAGAGTGCCTAAAAGTAAAGTAAGATTAAGTGACTGTGATATAGTTCAGGCGCTCAAGTCCAAACTTGCTGGATTGTTGCCTTTTCAGATCTAAGGCATACACTGTAAAGAGATCTTTCCATACTTCAGGATATAAGTTGTCTTTTTATCCCCTTCTGCTTCCTCCTCTTACTTCCCTCCCAGAACTTTCAGTAGGTAGGAGTAGGTGCATTCCTGTCATCTGAGACAGGTTTAAGGCTTGCTGCGCATGGCCTTTTTGGTTAAAGACAGACAGTAAGAACCACCCACAAGTAAGGGCTGTCTCTGAATTCTGGTCAAGTAAAGTAATTTTGTTTTCAAAAGGCAAGAATCTCATAAACTATAATAAAACCCACAAGTGGACATACCTAATTAAAGTGGCAATAGCATTTTAATACATGCCATCTCATGAAGGAGAGCAGACATGGTTTTAAAAAGATCTTTCTTAATGTAATCAGCTAAGCTGAGGAGAAAAAAAAAGGGAAGAAATAGACCCTTTAAAAGTCTTGTTAACCTCC